TGAACCACTCAGCTTCCAATGTTCAGGATCAAATCCTACAAAACGGTTTTTTTTTTTTTTTTAATTGAAAAACATTGCAGTGGGGGCCCTTGCCTGCTGGTGCAACAGGTTAAAGCGCAGCACTATGACACCGTCCGCAGCCACTGCAGCACGAGTTCAATCCCCAGCCATGGAGGTAACTCCCATGCACGGCAGGCCCCTCCTGTCTTCCCACTGCTCCCCTCAGCAGTGTTTCAGTCAGTCTGCCTGTTCTGCTCCCCACTCTATCTCTGGTGAATCCTCTTACCTCCTGCACCTCTAGCGTGTACCCCAGCTCTTGTGTGCATAAATAAATGAATCTTAAAAACAAAAATAAAAAAGCTCCACAGGTTGACATAATGCACATTTCAGGTATGCATCATTGAGATGTGAACTTCCTGCCCACCCTTCACTGTCCCACCACCCCTTGGTCCTCATCCACACACCCTCTGCTCTTCCCACTTCCCCACGCATGACCACTAATTGATCTAGAGTCCAAAAGTTTATTTTCAATTTGTTTAGTTCTTTACAAGGTGCTATTTTTTTTTAAAAGACTTATTTATTCATATAGAACTGGGGTACAGGCCAGAGATGCGGAGGGTGAGAGGGGATTCACCAGAGACAGAACGGGGAGCAGAACAGACAGATGGACGAAGTCCACTGCTGAGGGGAGCAGCGGGCGGGTCAGGAGAGGTCTGCCGCGCCATGTGGTCACCTCCTGGGCAGGTGGGGATCGAACTCATGCGGAAGTGGCTTTAGCTTCTCCATGCTGCGCTTTAACCTGCTGCGCCACCAGGGAGGGCGAAGGTGCTATTTTTATTAACATCTTTTATAAGAAAAAGAATCTCTGCCATCTTATGTCTGCATAAAGAAAATGTTGGCATAGGGCCCTTTTTCAGAACCCTCATCGCGTCTGGCGATAGAAACAGAGAAACTGAGTCAGGTTAGAGGCAAACCATGGCTCTTCTATAAGCAGGGAACACCAAAAGCCCACAGTCTGTCTAATTTAAGCCAATGCCCTTGGCTTTGGATTCCACTAGACATAACAGTTATTTAAAGTAAGTGGATTTAAAAAAAATCTATTTTTCATCACAATGACCATAGTGTTAGAAATAACTCAGTACTCACTGGGGTCAGAAGGAGAGGCTTTCATTCCTGAGAGAGACTGCAAAGGTCTATCTGCCCCACAAAGCAGCCTCCCATGTCCTCAAATTCCAGAAGATAACTTGAGAAGAAATAAAACTCCCCAGCAGAGCTTCTTGGCTCCCCTGAGGGCCTGCCGAGGCAGGTTTGCAGACGTGTGCCTTTGTCTTAGGGTTAGGGCCTGGAGCTTTCTTGTCAATCCTCTTGTTGCCAGCTAAGGTACTTAATTAAGAACCAAATCTAAAGTGATCAAGCAGGCAGTCAAAGAAGAGGATTCCTTGAAAAGGCATCGTGGGAGGAAGAGAGGGCTGCAGGGGAAATGGGATCTGCCTGGTTGTAAACAGATTTAGGGTCTCCAAGTGCAGAAGGAATGTTCTCCAAATAGTTTTGTGTTAAGCGTCTGTCAACTCTGCCCATCAGCCTGCTTAGGGTTATTTCAGATTTCTTAAAAGCTCTGAAGTTCAAAGTAAATAACTGTTACACGGGTTAATAAGTCCAATATTGACTGGGAGAACGTGGCTGAGAATCTGATGTTTTAATTAAAGTTGCAACACACTGCCCCTGCCTTTTCAGAGATGATCAAATACATCACTTTGGAAAACCATGTAATCTTGTCTGGAAATCTTCCTCCTGCTCTCGCATCCTGTAAGAGTCCTGCCAGAGAACTTTAACACAAATCAGAAACTTGATTGAAAGCACTGGTACCAAAAAAGGAACTCTGGCCAGTACTTTGGACCTATGACTGTGAACCAGGCAAGAGGTTTTCAATGAGTGAGTGTGCTCATCTGTCTCCCAACTGAGATGTCCGGGAAGGCAGGAACAGAGGAGGATTCACAGTGTAAACTGATCTCTTCAATGTGCAAACATTACAGTGTAGGGCAGAACACAATGGAAGAGAGTCTGGTGGAATACAGTAGAAGAGAAGAAAGTAAATGGCTGAAGTCGATGAACTCACACTATGTCCCAGGCCTTATGGAATTCCTCCCCATAAACTTTTGGGGGCTCTCGAGCCAACTGAGTAGCTAGCTGGATGAAATGGGGAACTCCACGGCAGGAAGTGGTGCTTTTCTGATGCAGCTAATTACGGATTGTGGAGCCCCGCCTCCTGAGTCAGCCTGGCGGTATGCGGGCTTACATGATCATTGCATGAAACTTGAGAAATAAAACCAGTGTATCTTGCCACTTAACATTTAAGAGGCAAGAGGTGGTGTGTGTGCTTGTGTGTATTTAAATGGTTCCTAATCTTTAAAATGGCTCTTTGCAGGAGGCCTGTTTTATCAGCTGGTCATATTTACAGCGTAGTCTCTGATGCCACTGTGTTTTCCAAAGAGAGGATTTGGCCATTGATGAGCTCACATTTTAAGGTACACAGGCTTATCATAGCAGTCTGTGCATTTGCTAGTATTACACAGCAATAAAAACATCTCTGTCTGCTCTTATATTTATTTCTTTTCTGTAAAAGAAATGTCTTTCCACCCCCCCCAAGCTAATAGAGGTGTATTATAGAAAATAATGTAGGAAAAATCTACAGAAGCCAGTCTCCAAAAATAATGATTCAAAAATTTCAATAAAAGTTCTGAAATGCAGGTGATGCAAATGTACAGAGAATAGTAAAATGAACCCATTACTCAACACTCATACACCCAGTTCTGCAGTTTCAAGATGTTAACCCCATTTGCTTCAATTCTCCTTTTTTTAACTTGCTAAAGGATTATCAGTTCCAATACACTATTAGATGGCTCTTAAAAAAGTATATACATTCCCCCCATAACTGTTCATGCCTATGATGACTAGTGAATTAACAAGTTGTTGGTATCATGCATCACCTAGCCCATACTCATATTTCCCTGATAAGTAAATCAATGTTAATCTTCTATGGAAAACGGATAGCTTTCCTTTTTGCCCCCCAATAAAAGGATTTATACGTTAAAAAAAAAATACAACGTTCATTTTGAGCTTTCCTTCTGCTAGCACAACTCACCCTCACGCCTATTTTTCAAAACTTTCTAATTTAAAATGGCTGCCTCCGGTTGGGGGTAGAACTTGGGTGATTAACCAACCATTCTTCCATTGGTGTGTTTTCACATACATGGGGGAGGGGGTGGAGGGGGAGAGAGAGCCCTTTTCTTTCCCTTCAGTAAATCGTGTCGCTCGTAATATCTCCTTCATATCACCTCTCCCTTGATGAGGGCTATTTCCTTAGGATGCATTCCAGTGGTGTCATTGCTGCCTAGAATGGAGAAACATTTGTAAGGCCCTTGGCTTGCCTCACCGAGTTGTTTACAAAAGGACTGTACCAATTTACACTTCCACTTACAAAGGATGAGAGAGCCTCTATTAAAATGTTTCAAGGCAGGGCTTTTCAGAGCTCTTATAAATCATTGGCTCAGGCTGACTGATGCTGTCCTGTTCATCTCCAGATAAATAAATACACATTTTCTATAGCGACCAACAGTTGGCATGCGCATTGTGCCAAGCCACCGCAAACTAACTTTGATTAAACGAGGAAACCGGTCTACTTGTTGAAAATGTGGTAATGAGATAGTTTCCACCCAGCCGGGAAGCCCGGTCCTGGAGGGGGAGGGGAGCCTCTTGCTCGCCTCTCCCCATCCTGAAGAAAGTGGGAATGAACAGGTCAGCCTTCTTCTCTTTTACTTTACGTTTTTTTTTTTTTTTTTTTTTAAGCTGAGGATTTTATTTGTTTCCATCTGGCCGAGTGGAGGATGCAAAAACATACGGTCGAGAAGGAGCAGAAAACTTCTGGAGCAGGCGGTGACGGCAGCCCCACCGCCCCGGGTAACAGGATTAAGGCAGAGCCATTTTAGCTTCCAGACCAAATTCTACTTTGTCTCCTTGGGGACACGCTGTTCCCATTTGCGGACTCCCCATCAACTGCTTCAGAAACTCTGCTCCCAGCTCATTTTCTTGAAAGAATCTAGCCTCGCGGTGACAACTCCTTGTGGAGAATCCAGTTGTCTTGGTTTGGAGAAAATTTAGGTGACAGATTTGTTGTTTGGTTTTTGGTTATTTTGAGACGGAAAGAAAAAATGATCTCAGGACTCTCGTGTTTATGGGGCAGGAAAAGAAAAAGAAAGGAACGCGATAAGAAAATACTTAGCCGGATGATCCCTGAAAAGCCCAGCCTCTGAATCTTTAATTCTTTTTTTCTTGGGGGTGGGGGGCGGGTGGGGGGAGGGGGGCGCGTTCCGGGAAGATGGTTCTAGGATCCTCATTTGCTTTTCACTGTTTTCATCCCACTCACCAGGGTGAAGTCGTTCCTCAAAGCAAGTGGGAAGAAAACATAATCTCTTAGAATATTTTTAGGAGGACGAGCCGGCTGGGGCTTTGCAAAAAAAAATATGACAACAAAACGTGCTCACATTTTTTTTTTTTTTTAAGTTGTCAGAGGGGCCCAAGGGGTGAGCTAGCTTGCAGGGCTGTTTGGGAGCGGGGAGGCTCCCGGAGAATAAAGGCTCGTGTCCCCGCGGCTGACGTCTCGGGGGTGACGGCCATGCCGCGCGCCCCGGGTGCCTCGGTGCCAGGAGCCCCCCGGAGAGCCCGGAGCCTCGGGGCGCGCGAGGACCCCCGCTTTGCAGGTGAGGCAGCCGCCGCTGAGTCAGGACCCCGCTCCGCCAGCCGGTTCATTCAGTTCCGGTTTCTGAGAACCCGCCCAGGAGCCGGGGAGCTGCGGAGCTTCCCGGGGGCCGAGTGGGGCGCTGGAGAGGGGCCTCCGGCTTATCCAAACCTTGGGACTTGAGGGCAGCTGTCTGATCGCTGATTGAGCAGATTTTGTGTGTGTGTTTCTGGTTATTCTGCCGGGGCGTGGCTCCCCTCTTAATCTCCTCTCCAGCATTTTCTCCAAATCCTGTAAATGCTGGAGGGCAAGGTTTGCGAGGACGCACCTTCAGGCTGGAGGTACGGGCTCCTCAGCCCACTTACCCGCTGCACTCTCTCACCTGTGACTCTCCCTCACGCCTCCCAGGCCACCCTTGACCTTCAGCCCGAAGATGCCGGCGGAGCCCTGAAAGGCAGGCCGACTCCCAGCGCCTCCCCGGATCCCGCAGACCCAGGTATCTCTCTTTAAGGAATTGCACAGGCTTTGTGTACCCCGAGTGCTCCCAGGTTCAGAGGCGGATGAGCGGGGTCCCAGTTGGACTGCCCTCGCACCTGCCAGAAACACACTTGGTTCTCTCTTCCCACTGTGATGCTGGACCCTGGCAGGGCCCGCTGGGGTTCAGGACCCCCCTGGTTTTGAGCACCACTGAGCCCAGTAACAGGGTATGGGTCTGGACCACAGACTCATTATCAACGTGGAGACTGTGGCACATAGAGAGGGCTCAATAATTTGATTTATTTTCCCGTATTTCTCCTGACTGTTATTATTGTCCTCTTGTCTTAATTGAAGGCTCACTTTGTGCCTGTCCTCTCCAAAGCATTTTGCAAGTGAGGGCTTGTTTATTTCACTCCAGCAGCCTTATCAGCCAATACTCTGACCTCCATCTGTAAAATGGGGAGACACAGCAGGAGAGGGCTTCCCCCAGGCGCAACAACTGGCTATTCTGGAGCCCTGTTTGGAACCCAGAAAGCCAGTTTCAGGGGCTCAGCCCCTGGCCCACCACCCAGGTGCACAGTGGAGGGGCAGCTTTCCAGGGGGTAGGGGGATCAGGCACTGGCCGGTATCTAGAAAGGGTGCATGTAACGTGCTGGGCCTACAACAGTATTTAATCAAGGGTCACTATTATTATTAATCCCATATGCTCCTAAGCCATGTCAGCCACATGGCACAACAAAAAAGAATGGCTGGAGTCAGCATGGGCTTCAGAGTCAGTCAGGGCTAGAATTCCACTTTTTCACGTTGTAGGTCCACAGTAAGTCAGAGGAGTCAGTGAGGAAGCGTCTGCCGTGTGCAGCAATCAGGTCTGCAGAATGAATTGAGACACACCAGTGTTATCCAATCACCACCTTGATTGGATAAACCAGATGGCGGAGCTCAGGCTGTAGTTTAGGAGGGTCCAAGTGTTTATTTTGCCTTATCTCTTTTACTAGTTGTTGTAAAAGTGACCTGAAGACACAGGACGGGATTAAATATTCTTAAATATGGGAGCTGTGGGGAAAGGAGACTGTTAGCGTTTCAAGAGTGCTCTTGGCTTTATGTCTGTTGAATTCGCCTCTTAGGACCCGGACCTGGGCATTGTCCCTCTGTTCTGCCCCTTCATGGCTCTGCTTTATTCAGAACAAAATTCATTCTTGATGATGCGCAAAGGCCCCAAGCAATCAACACGGCCTCCCAGGCCTCATCTTCAGACTTGTCTTCTCCTGGCACTCTCCTCCAGCCACAGTGTGTGCTGACTTCCTCTGCCCCTGGAATCACTGGGCACAGTGCTTCAGGGTTTTGCATACTTGAGTGCTGAGAATGCTTTCCCCCAGAACTCCACATGGCTCCCACTGTCACCAACCAGATGGCTCTACCCGTGAAGCCTTCCCGGACCATAACATCATCCCCACTTATTCTCTGCTTCCTGGCCCCTGGACCGCCTTTATTTTTTTTCTATAGTGTCCATCATCCATACAGTTTCGCGTTAGCTTTAGGAGTACAGGCAGTTTGGTACTTTTCTTTCCTGTGGCTTTCTCAGGGCTTGGAACAGTGCCTGGTACCCAGTAGAAGCTTAAAGACTTTGGGGGGTGGGGTGGGTTTATGTATGCATACAAGAATTGGGGGTGTAGGCCAGAGGACAGGGTGGTGAGAGGATTCACCAGAGACAGACTGGAGACAGGAGAGGTCTGCTGCGCCCTGTGGGTCAGCTTCCTGGCTGGGGATGGAACTTGTGCTGCAGTGGCTGTGGACAGCTTCACAGTGCTGCACTTCAACCTGTCGCGCCTCCAGGAAGGCCCTTCAGAAAGATCTGTTGTGTGAGAGAGTAAATGAAGGCATAGATGAAAGAACCCTGGGAGCATATTTATTTAATTAAGTGGGCAGCTGTGGTCTATTGGACACTTCTTGTGTGGCAGCCCCTGTTCCCCAAGATCCCTGCCACCTCTTAGGCAGTAAGAAAACACGTACTTTGGGGGCTGGCATCATCAGCAAATGCCATAAAGGGGCCCGAACAAAGAGTGACTGAGCAGAGCGACTTCGAGGCACTTGGGGCGGGCTGGGAGGGGAGGATGGCTGTGGGCCGGGTCTTACAGGCGTGTGGCACGGCGTGCCTGGGGCATTCAGAGTGAGGTGTAGGGGGCAGCGGAGCCAGCCCCCAGCCAGGAGGAGGGCAGGGAGAGGGGGGCTTAGCAGCTGTTATGGGGCAGCAGTCTCTGGAAATACTCAGCATTTTATCCCGCATGTTTGACACAGTTTGGAATACTCTGTTAATACACGATTAATTTTTAATTATACACGTCACTTGTGAATATGCTTTACATATAAAAAGATCAAAATACTGAGCCAGACTCCTGGATTCTTGCCCACATTTGAGAATTAGCCACTTTTGGTATAAAATTGTATGATTCAGGGATTTGCATCTTTCTATTTTTTCTGAGCTTTAATGGACCGTAACATTAGTTTGCGGTGTGCTACATAATGTATTAATATACACTGTAAAAGCACCAGCTTGTGTGCCTTAGCCGTCTCTCCAGGTACACGTATACTCGTGTATGTTTACATAGATTTCCTTTAGCAAACATTACTGGGGTTTTTGCTTCACCCCACATGCCGTGGTGACCCAGACACACGAGTACACACAGAATGACTTCTTCCTGTCCGGCTGCTGTCGTCCTGAATCTTTTTTTTTTTTTTTTTTTGAATGATTAAGTTAATCTAAACAGGCTTTGCTTTAAAGTTGTCAGAGTAAACAGTCTGAGGGACTGACACAGGCCTGATGTTGGGTGACCATTTCCTTTGATTGACGCGTGGGCTGTTCCCATTGTTCTTATGACTGTACCAGATGAACATCCTTGCTTCTGTTTCTCTAGGGCAGGTGCTGAGATTACATGCTTATCTGTTGATGTCTTAATTTGTTTAGTGTCTGTTTCTCCTATTAAAAGGGAACCTCCAGGAGGGCAGGAACCCAGTTTCATACTTCATTCTTTAATTACTGCCCTGGGACAGAGGAGGCTTGGTTAACAGACACTTACGGGACGAATCCATAAATATCGGAGGCCATGCTGTGGCTTTGCATCCTAAGATGGGAACTATGACTTATTTGGTAAAATTGGAGATGTTTGCAGAGGGCAGGAGCAGGATGGTTATTAGTGGTGTATAGGGAAAGGGGCCTTTAAGAGACACAACTGGCCCCCGATTTTGGAAAGTTCAAGTTTTGCCACTTTGCTTTGGCTTATACTAAAGTACCTGTCTCCACTACCTGGGACAAATCCAAAGAGGAGTTCTGCTTTTTGGGACTAAAGGCAAAAAGAAAATAGCAGCAGTGTTGGTTTTGCAGCTGTTCTAGAAACAGCAAGGCCTTCAGCCTCGGTGGCCCCCCGGAGCCCTTCCTGGGAAGCTGCTTTTACACAGCTGTGGATTTATTGTGGCGTTTCTGCTTTGACTGTATGTTAGTATTTTGTGGGCAGGGATTATGTGTCATTTGGTATGACTTGGTGGGTTACTTTTGAGGGGGGGAGGATACTCAAGTTTTTCTATATAAATGAGTGGTACATAGGTCTCGGCTTTACAACCAGGTTTTGGGAAGGTTTCATTAGGCAGCAGGTCAACCTGCCTGGGGATACAGGATCTGTAAGATCTACTGACAGACTGGGGCCCTTCCTGGTGGTGCAGCCGGTTATAGCCCAGCACTATAAAGCTCTCAGCCGCTGCAGCACCAGTTCAACCCCCGGCCAGGGAGGTGACCCATGTGGCGCAGCAGACCGCTCCTGACCTGCCCGCTGCTCCCCTCAGCAGTGGATTTCAGTGCATCTGCCTGTTCTTTCCCCCACTCTGTGTCTGGTGGATCCTCCCACCGCCTCCTTCCCCACCAATCTGGTCTGTGCCCCAGTTCTTGTGTGAATAAATAAATACATCGTTAAAAAAATCTAACAGATTGGCCCCAAGGGGCCTTGTAAAGAAGGATGGGAAGGCTGAAAACTAGTATAGGCCATTTCAGATTTGCAAACATTTATTGCCTCTCAGCTCTGGGCAAAAAGCATCCTGCTAATTGCTCCTGGGACAGACATTTGCAAGCCCTTTCTTCCCTCTGTCCAAAGAGATCATAGTCTATTGGGAAACAGACTTGTGCACAGATATGCCAGGAACGCAAGGGAGGGCCTGAGGTAGGAGCTCAGCCCTGGGGCAAGCAGCTGAATAAAACTGCTCCAGACCAGGGAGACAGGCGAGGTTGGGTGAAGACGTTTCTGCCTTTCCCAGAGCCACAGCTGACTGGTGGCCCCTCAGGAACAGGGTGTCTAGTCCCTTGTGTAGATTGTGTCAGACTTAGGTTGGTGCCGCCAGCGCGTGCCTTGAGGGTACCTGGACAGTCCGGAGACCGCCGTTAGCCCTGTGACCCGAGGCAGGTTACTTAACTATCCCGAGCTCCATTTTCTTTTTTTAAAGCCAAGGCAGTAACATGCTTAGAGCAAAAAGCGCCGCAGTTTCTTCCAGTTCTGCTTGTTGTATTTATGTGACCAGGATGAGCTCTTTCAGGAGATAATTTTTCTCTCTGGAGAAACACTTGACGTTCAATACTTCTTGCAGTTTTACTTACATTTCCTTAGGAGTAAAGCCCAGGGCCCTGCGAGGACCCGTCCGACCAGACCAGCCTTGGGGTCAGGCTGTTATTCTGAGGGCCACTGGGAGTTTTAGGCAGAGCTTGATGAGCTCAGTGTGGCAGCGCCAAGACGGCCGTCTGTAAACACGGAATTCGCTTCTTTACACTTGTGTCCCGAGCCTGTGGGGAGGGTGCCAGGCACCTGTCGTACGAGGTGCGTATTCTCTTTGCTGAGTGCCCGTTTCTTCTGCATTTCAAGGGAGGCTTCAGTGTTACCGGGCGATGTGGTGAGATAATGATGTTAGCGCCTGGCACACAATTCATGTGCGGACGCGACCTTCATGTTTCATGAGCATTTACTGTGTGCTCTGTAGTCCCGC